CCATTATCATCATCTCAAACACAAATATAGCTCAGACCGACCTAAATGCTCAGATCCCGATGGCTGATGAAAGTGCTTCGCTTAATCACCCTCTTTTTATTCAGTCGGTGATAATTACAGACACAAAGGGAGTAATCATCATTATAGGCTATACAAGAGGTTAGAAAAACAGCAACGTGTGGATGCACACAGGAGCCATTTCATTATTCCAACAGGCTTTGCACACCATTAATCCCACACAACTGTGAAGCACAGGCTCAGAGAAGACAATAACTCAGTAAGAGGTTTAGAGCACCTACTGTGTATATGCTTAGAAATACTGTACCAATAATGATAGATTTGATCAACTTTCAATTTTAATTTGCAATACTCATAATACCATTTAGTGCTGGTTTAAAGGAATACTTCACCCAAAAAATGACCATATGTTTATCAATTAGTCTTGCTGTGTTACCTTGAATTTTGTTAAGAAAACTTTGTTTTTCTCACATGCTTCCATGAAAAAATGGCGAACGCATTGATTTATTGATTGATTGGGGACCATGTATAACAACAGCAACACTATATCAAAGCATTTGTATACAAAGTCTCAGTCCAGGTCTCATTAATGCAGGCGTATGCTCAGCACTTCCTAAACACATGCATTTTTGTTAAAACCTTTTTTAAAACTGATCTGAAAGTGAAACTTAGCGACGCTCTCTTCAAAGCCAGACACCAATACTAAGGGCCAATTCATAGTTTCCAGGTCCACTGTGGTGCGTGTGACATAAATGTAGTCATCTATCCATGTCTGCAAGGGTCCAAACGGACCCCTGTGTGGCCCATTTTTTGTGACTGCGCAGAGTATGCATAGCAAGCGCCAAATGCGCATGCTCCAATCATAGGCTCCAATCTCTTGTTCCAAACTCCAAAACACTGCAGTCAAGCCAGCCACAGTCCCTCACCACAGTGAAGTTAGATTTAAGTTGGATAATCGACAGTCATTCACTCCAAACCCAGAAGCTTCTCTTCAGCTTCACTCTTACCTGTTGTCAGCAGGATGGGGATGGTAAGCTCATCTCCCAGCCCTCCCATTTAGTGCTGAGGGCTGACGCAGACCCTCAATTGTACAATGAACAGCAGCGCTTGCGTGCCGGCTGTCTGTGAACGTACAACTTGTAAAGTATGTCCGAGCCTTGAGACTTTTTAGTAAAAATGCATGTGTTCGGGAAGTACTGAGCATACGACTGGATAAATAAGACTTGGATTGTACTGCACAAGTCATGTGAGAGTTTGTAAAAAGATGTTTTGATATAGTTTTGCTGTTGTGAAACATGGTCCCCAATCAATCAATAACTCAATATGGTAACTGTTTTCAATGGAGGCCTTTGAGCAAAACAGTTTTTTTCACTACTTCAAAGTAACAGCATGACTAATTGATTTAATTTTTTGGGTGAAGTATTCCTTTAATGTTCCAGTTTATGTGAAAAACGTTTTTGTGAATGTATTTGGTGTTTGCAGTAGTGCAATGACACATTTTCCTGATAGACAAAACAATAGAAAGGCACAACATCTGTGGTGTTGCAGCTTTACAGTGCTTATTTTATTATATGAGGCCACTTCAAATTAGAAACAAATATTAAAATGTTTTGACATCATCCTTACTTTGCTCATTACTAACAGGCAGACGCGCACACACACACACACACACACACACACACACAGGCAGACACAGACCTTGACCAGGACTGGCCCGACCACTTCCAGCCCAAATGAACAAGAACAGGCTAAATTAAAGCTGGCGCCGTTGATTTGCACTTTGGATATTCTCGCACAACCAAATACCAGATGGCAACTGATGAAGCCTATACTTGTATTTAAAGCTACTTCTTATGCCGAGGCTACACTCCAGTGTCATTACAACACATTACCAGTGTCATGGAAAATAAAGCAGGTCCAACATCACACAGGCAGAGCAAAACCACTGAGTGGCTCTGTATATGTGTGTGCATTTGCACCATGTAAGTCCAGTAACATTATACCGCAATGTAAATAAGTGGTGCTGCTACACTGTGTCCTGTAACTGGAGGATCATCAGTGGTGCTGTTGTGTGCATGCTTCTGCGGTGTTTGACTCATTTTAGGGCACGAGGCCCAGATGTCTGCTTTGGAAAACAAAACCTAAACAGATGAATATGGTAGAAGATGGCAAAACACATGTTGGCGCATCGTGCTCGTCCTCCACTGCCTTTGGTATTACTGCTCAAGTTTGACAGCGAGCTAATTGAAGTAGATCTGCATGTGTTTGTGGAAAGCCTTTCACTTCAGATGACATTAGAGAAAAACTGTGTGATGATAGATGCCCTTTATGAGTAAAACCAGAGGGTGAATCATATGACAGTGCACTTCAGTGCTTACCTTCTGGTCCACTATGGAGCACACCAGGTCCTTGACAGCGGACAGCGATAGGTCACTGGCCTCCAGGTTCACCGTCTCTCTTGTGAGTCCTATCTGCAGCAGGAAGGACACCCCATGAAAAGAGCTGCGGGAGTTAGTGGGGCTGGGGACGCTGTGACTGCCGTTGGACAGCCGCGTGTAGAGAGGCCCGGGCGGGCTCGGCGACAGGGAGGACGATGAGGACGGGTGGTGTGGATAGAGAGAGTGGAGGAAGGCTCGAGGTAAGGACGGGGGAGAGGAGGCAGACATTGGGTTTCTTCCAATGGCGACGTGGAACGCTGAATGGTGGAGGTTTTAGTGAAGGCTGGCAGAAGGAAGCACAGTGGACTCCTGGTAGGGGGAATCTTTGGTCCTCATCAGTGATGGTGAGTCAGCACTGTGTTTTTTTTTTTTTTTTTTTTTTTTTTATCAGAGTGACATTGTTTTTCATAAATTAAGAGAGCAACAGGCGATCCACCCACCACACAGCACAGCACACAATCTAGCCGGGGCAGGTGATGGAGAAAAAGTCTGTGAACAATCCGCAGACTTCTGCAGTAAAATCACTGCAGCAAGCTTCATATCCTGGAGTGGCGCTCCTTCTCCTTACTGAAGTCAGTAATCCACTCTGACCACAGGAAGCCTGTCACCACAAACATACACACACACAGACAAACACACATAGTGCTATTTTTATGATGAAAAGCATTTACCTATCTGAATACAGCAGAGACAGTAGTGCACATGAGACGCTCTTATTTGGTTGTGCAAAGTATGAATGAAACAAGTACTTATCTTCGCTTTGTGTACAATTTTAAGTTGAATTTACGTGGACAAACATGTTTCTGCTTTCTCAATTAACGCATTTAAGAAATTGAGTTCACCAAACTTATTTTATTTGAGTCAGCCAGGCTCATTATTTTTTTTTTAATTGAAACAACTTAATTTTTATTTGTCTACTAGAATTGTATCTAACATTTTAAACTTAATTTCTCCTACATTATCTCCTATCTATCATTTTGATTATGTCTTGTGTTGTTTTGCTGTTGCTTTGCATTGTTATGGTTGTAATTGCTTCCCAGTGTTAGCTTTATGCTAACTTATAGCCTTTTATTAAATGGGCTGTGCTAAAGGACCCCCAGCTTGAGCTTTTCTGTCTATAAATTCATTACTTTTTACTTTACTATCGACATTTGTTGACTTTTTAGTAAACTTAACAAAGCTATTACCACACCAGGCCTTTGTGCTCGTGCGCAAGACAATAAAATAACAGCCTAAAAGACACGTAAAAGTTGATAAAGCGTATCATTTCTGTGTTTACAAGAATTCAAACTCCACAAACATCTGGAGCCAAGGCTTCCTAACATCTGCACCCCTCCCACTTTCGATTGGCTTGCTGGCAGAACACAACCCGAGTCGAGAATGCCAGCAAAACAAGTTATACAAGAGCTGGATTTACACATTTACAGGGCTTTACTGTAGCTCAACTATGTCTTCACTTCACCTCAGTTTACAACCAAACGTCGCCACGAGTGATATGAAGCGATACTTTACCTTCACAGTCAGCGAAGGGTGCTTTTCTTTCCATTGTGACTTTGCTGAAGAAACTTTGTAACTCCATCAACTGAGAAAAGCGGAGTGTGAAGTTTCAAAAGTCTGCACCTCACACACACACACACACACACAAAGCGCTGCCCCGTCGCTTACACGTACCAAATACCGACACAAGTTTTACATCCAGGCGCGCGGACACTGACCGAGCCGTCCATTTATTTTCTCTTATCTTTTATTCCAGATTGTAAATTCATGCGCATCTTATTATCCTTCCAGCTGTGTCTACTCCCCCTGCTTGACGAGGAAAAAGAGCAGCGGCCGTCGCTGGGGCTTGGAGTCTTTTTATTATCTCCGCATAACTGACTTTCCATGTGTGGGGAGGAAACTTGAACTACAGTGCCTGTGAAGCAATGGCGCCTCCGATGGAGCACAGGCCAATGCGCATGTGCTTCTCTTTTCCGTTATTTCAACTTGTCCATGCCAAGAAAAAAACGTTCTTCTACACGACCCGGATCGGTTTGTAGTATGCTGGTTTCCAATGTGGGGTCCAGGAGTCCTCAGGGGCCCATGAAGGGGTTCATACATGCCCCCAGCAATGTGGAGGAGTGGAGTGATTTCACTTTGCTTTATTAAACAACAAAGAAGTCTCTAGTGTTGTCTCCCGACTTATCTTAGCAGAGATTTAAAGATAAAATAGAGGTATGTTGTGTGGCGTTTTGTCTGCTTACCATGAAGAGTGTAGGTTAAATTTCTTAGATATGAGGAAGCTATGAGTTCAATTAACAGAACTTCTAAAAATTGAAAGAAAAAACAGGAAGGGAGACTTGGATTTTGCAAGGATGCTTACGTGTTATCTAACTGCCAGCTCATGGAGATGAACCGATCAACACAGTAGATTACACAACACATTTTAGGAACTGGTGCACAGTTACACTTTGTTTGTAAGACTCTGCTGTTCAGTAATGCCATTTTACCTAAAAGCAACACGTTCAGTGCACACAGAGAAGAAAACAAATCAACACAGATGACAAATATAATGAATGCAGAGTTTATTTACACATTTAAAATGGATCAATACTGTGGAAATGTGGGGTCTATTCTCTTTGCCCACGCCATGAGGCCTCCGCTGATGTCTTTCACGGCGATGCTGTCCACCTCTGACCAGCTCATCTTCTCCATAACCTGCACCGCCTTCTGAGAGTCGTTACCCAGCTTACAGATCACATACACTGGAGAAAATCAGTAAAGAGAAAACATCAGTGTGGTGACACCAGTGGATCTTAAAGGTATACTATGCAGGATTTTCCTCACACACACATGTATTTCCTCTCAATCATAACTTATGACCCACTAAGAGTGTGTGACGGTGTATTTTCCTGCAGAGACTGTGCCCTCTGCCTGTCTTCTTATTTTCTGTGTATGTGGGCGTGCACCCCCACACTGCTTAGGGGAAGTCGGAGCATTACAAAAAGGTAGCGAGCAGGTGCGAGATCCTGAGCAGCAGGCATCCAGGAGACACAGAGCAACAATAACGCATTGTAGCAAGTCAAACGAGAGTGAATCTGGGGTTGGCTTTTACTTTCATTTCCACTTGCAAGTGTTTTGACAAACAGTAACGGACAACCCTGCGTAGTATACCTTTAATTTGCATCAGATTCAAAGCATTAATTGACTTACACTCAACGTGAGTTAAGTTGATTTTGCAAACCAAGGTTGTATTAAGGCTAAATTTAGCTCATTGATAAAGAAAGCTCAACACAGTCAATATCCAGAGCATCACCAAAATACACATTCTGAATATTCATTTCTCTAAAGCAGGCCAGCTGCTCAGGTTGACCGTACTTGTTTTGGAAAAGGGGTCACCTAGCAACCCCATTACAACCTGTTACTAGCCATCCAAAATAAGCTCGCGGCCCCTGCAGTACCAGACCACACAGTAGACTGTGAATATGCACAAGTGTCTCTACGTGCCTGTTCATTTCAAACAACATGTACGGAGCCTAAACGGTGTTTTGACATGTTACCTGGAGGCCGGCGGTCACCCTCCATCTGCTGCTGCAACTGGCTGATTCTCTCCTGGAGTAATCGGATATGGTCGCTCTTCCTGTCCTCTAAACTTGAAAGGGGAATGTCTTGAGACAATATAAGGAGAACAATCACACAGAAGTGGGAAATAGGAGATTGATTTTGTGCTTTCAGCTCTAAAAGGATACTGAGAGAGAAAGGTAAGTGGCATATATCCACCTCCACAAGAGGGCGCACGTCCAACAAGAGATGGGGCTCCCCGCTGTCTATTATCGATTTATAATCCTGGAATCACATTAAAACAGTCATTAATGCACAAATACTAACAACTTTTTAATTAAAGAGAGGTGTGGCTTTATCTCTGGGGAAAAGACATTGATTCATATCTACAGCTTAAACAGGGAGACCAAAATTAGTCACAGCAAATGTTGAAACTTGTATTTGCGGAGTCATACCAACATTTTAACTGCTTTTCCTTAAATCACAGGAAACAAAACTGCTTTCTAACTGGAGCCCCTTGCACAATCTCGATTACAGCCCAATCAATCATGATCCCAATCTCTGCGCCTAATGACTCAGCGGGTTTTGAAAGCACCAACTCTCCAGAAACAGATGCAATCCACCACCACTGCTGCTGCGCTCACTGCCAAATAGGACATGTTATTCTTTCCCATAGAAAATCCACTGGCACATTTTAAGTCATTTCCCATTTGGGGCTGGGTCAGCGCTGAGATGTAATCAGTTTATGAATGCACATGAAAACTGAGAAAATTGTGAGTAATCATACAATAAACAGCGCTAAATACAGGGAGTCACGCAACGGCCAACTGTTCTGGACTGTGTTTCCCCTACCTGTACTGTGATCCGCTGATCTCTGGAAAGGAGGTTGAGTTTGCGGCACTGAAACACATGGAAAATGAGGCAGAGAGAGATTTTTCCTATGATTAGAGAATAATGACATGTACTGTGTCTTATTAAACGGCAAAATCCAGTTGATGTAAGAAACACCTCCTGCAAAAATGTGCACAACTCCATAACAAGAGCTACCCTGTCAGTTCCCTCTCCTACGACCAACCTTATCAGTGGCAGCAGACCCACAGAAAGCCTCATAGTCCACCAGCTGTGTTACACTGGGGTTCTCTCCACACACCGCACAGCCGGCCTGCTTGGGCCGCAACTTGATGGACCTGAATCTGGCATCTTGAGCGTCAAACATCACCAGCTGCTGTCCGCAGGAAGCTGGCGCGCCGGGTCAAGGAAAAGACTACTTTGTGAAAAACATCATCACGTTGCTCGATTCACAAAATCAGCTGGCATGTCTCCCCTTTTGTGTACGAGCACCATAACAACATTCAGTTTTCGTAGGAAAACAGTGCAGCACTTCCCTGGCTGACGCATAAGGGCCAGGTGTTAGCATGGGCATCACAATGCAAGAGAGGGAGCAGGATGGGGCAAGTATTTTCTCTGATGTGTGTCTCAATATCAACATGAGAACACTTAACCACAAAGCGTTCTCATAGGAATGGCAAATGCAGAGTCAGCAGTCTGTTTTCGCTATATTTTATCACACAGGCACAAAACACCCTTCAGATCTCTTACAATGCTACAATAAAAGCCCTTTCAGCAGTTGTTTTATCCAGATGACTTGGCAGAAAATTCTGATATCAAACAACAAACTGCCCAAGGAAGGTACTGTATGTAATGTGGGAGCTCAGACGAGAAAACCAAAGGATACAGCCGTGTCCAGAGGCGATCTTGAGGACTTCTAAAGCTTGGAAGCAGCCCATTATCCCTGGAACTTACGGAAAAGTGGAAAGATTTACTAACAACTATCATGTACACAGACTGCACTCTGTACAAAGTTAATGGCTCTGGGGCAAGTGAGGAGACAAGACTCACCGACTCCTAGCACCCCTCCGTCAGAACAATTGGTCACTGTCTCTGGGGGCGGGGGTACTGGGTACAGACATCTGTAGCAGGGGCCTCCACGGTAGTTATACACTGTCAGCTACACAAACACACAGCAAGGAGGCGTTTAAGCTGATAAAGTGACATTACAAATGTAATGTAGAGTCCTCTCTACCTTACCTGCCCCTCCATCCTCAGGGCACTTGCGGACACCAAAGGCTTGCCACTGAGCACGCAGGCGTCATTCACCAGATAACGAGTGGGGACGTTGTCTGAGCAATCAGCGACAATGTCATATATGAGGTCAGCGAAGTCAAGGTGTTTACATTAATGGTTAGTCACATCTCTCATCTGAAGATCTAAAATACTATTCATGCAATAAAAGCAATCACAGGCCTGAATAATACTGAGTGTGTGGCAGCTGCAGGGTAGTTTCATGACAAGGAATTAGCTGGTCTGTGTAACAGATGTAGGTGGAGGGTTTTGCAGCAGGATACTGTTGAATGAGTTGCAAGGCGTTCTCTGATGAAAGCTGCAGGTGGTAGGGAACACACTGCACTGTTGAGTTCAACCTGCAGACATGAAGTCACAGTGAAAAATATCAGCTCATTTCCAAAGAGATTGGTCCTCCATCATAAGAACTTTAAAGGTCCAGTGTGTAGGATTTAGGGGGATATATTGGCAGAAATGGAATATAATAACTATGTCTTTGCTACTTTAGAATGAGCCATTTATACCTACATAGGGGGCGGGACCTCATCCATGTTGCACAGCCATGTTTCTACAGGACGGAACGGACAAAATAAACACTGGCTCTAAATAGGGCCATTCGCATTTTTGCCTTGGCCACCATAGTTAGCAGTCCCTCTGTGACAAGCAGTGTCGCAAAAAACACAGATTTTTTTTTAAGTGAAACTGCTTTATTCAGTGTTTTTACGAGTTTAAATCACAAGTCCATTTGTTCTGGAGAGGAAGAGCCCTCTGTGGATATTTAGACTCCCAGTAAAAAAAAACCTCCTGAACATCTGAGTTTTAAGTTATCAGAGAAAAAAAGGTCAGCACACATTGCAGGTGCTGGGCTATTGGCCCGTCTCTGACAAGGCGAACAGCATCTGAGAAACACTGAATTGTAAAGTGAAACTGCTTTATTCAGTGTTTGAATTGGTTCACTAGGTCCATTTGTTTTGGAGAGAATGAGACCTCTGCCCTGTAAAAGCCTCCTGAACAATAAACACTGACAGAATTTTAAACGGGAGAAGTTTCAGCTGGTTGAAATCTGCAATCCTCACTGCTAGATGCCACTAAATCCACCTAAATTTTACACAATGTTCCTTTGAAACAAACAGATTAGTATTCTTATCAACCCTTTCAAAACGCATATTAGGACCATAACAGTTGTTTGCTTAAAGCAAGAACAAACCACAAACAGCAACATGTGAGATTTGAAAATGGACATGGGACCTTTGTCACATGGCCCCCGTTGCACTTCTCTTTTCCTCCTAATCTTTACTGTCTGTCTCAACTATCAAAAACAGTGCAAAAATAAATTAAAGTTATCTTGATGACATAAATTACCACCTTGGACTTTTATATTTTAAGTTGCATGCAGTATGGATGTGTAAGCATGTAGTAAATTATCATTAATATTCAATTAAATCAAGAGAGTGTATGTGTGACACAGCACCTAAACACTGTTCAAGTTGTTTCTAGTCAGAGAAATGGCGCCCTCATGTGGTCGTGGCTGCACAATGTGTGTACTAACCACAGTTGGGCCACTGTGAGGGAGAAAGGCACCAAAAACAGCTGTCGCTAAAATAACATGTTTACACAATATTTGCAGACTGAGGAGAAATACACAACCAAATATAACCTGTGGCGAGACTGAAGAGCGCCAGCATGCATTACATTGCAACCAAATGCTCACAAAACACATAGAAACACAGCAGTTATCATGGTTAGAGAGCATTTACTAATAATATCAAAACACTAACGTCTCTGTTTCAGGTCTGTTTGTGCAGATTTGGCACACATGTGCGGGGATACATTTCTCAGTCAGCACCTTTTAACTGCATTGGCAGTGGACAGCGCCTTGGCCTGGTCCTGGTTCTCCTCCCCATGAAGCACCTGTCTGTGCAGGTTACTGAGCTCCACCGTGTCGTAGTCCAGCAGCCCAAGGCGCCCTGGAACAAGTCAGTCAGAGAGGCTTGAGAATAAATGGATAATGGTGGCGGACCATGAAGATTAAACTCTGTAACGGGGATCCAAATGTAACAAAGTGTGATTTTGGTAGACTTGACTGACACTTTTATGTCTGTAGTTCTTGTTATTTCTGCTTTTTCTCAAATTCTGTATCTGCTTTCGTTCAGTTTTGCCGTGAATATAGTCTTGTGTTCTCAGTGTACCTGATTTTAATCATTAAACAGCTCTGAAATGGGGAGTGTGATATATATCTTCTTGGAAACTGACATGAATAATTACGGCTGCAAACCTCCCCATCCACAGGTACATTTATTTAGTTTACCAGCCACTGGGAGGTGAGCCAGATTTCTAATTTTAGACCATGCCTAAAGGAAAAGACGAATCGTTGACAGCTAAATTGTTACTAACACCCATACAGCACATTTCTTTCAAGGTTAATGACTTAATTTGTTTGGCACAAGTTCATGCTGAGCATTAATCAAACAGATTACCCACCAATGCCTGCCGCTGCAAGATACTGTGCTACGGGGCAGCCCAGTCCTCCACAGCCCACAATCAGCACCGAGGTCTGTGATAACTTTAGCTGACCTGCGGACAATCAAGATGCACTCTGTTGTGTTCAGTCATGCCATGAATCTCACTTGACAGATTGCTTACTGTACCGTACATCAGAGCAACACTGTCTGTAGCCATCCATACCTTGCACACCCAGCTCTGGCAGAAGGAGCTGTCGGCTGTAGCGCATGATGTCCTCATTGCTGAGGGCTGCTTTGGCTTTCAGGGGGGTTAGGGGTGTCACTTTTTCATACAGCTCCTGCACTGAGGTATGGCTCTGATATGACACAGGGGAGGAATTATAACAAGTTTAAACAGGAGCTCTGAGCCATGTGGCAGCACAGCCCTCAACAGCCTGCCTCTATAATATAATGAGCTACATTTATATCTCTCTTTACAGCCCATATGTCTCACATAAGGAGCTATTTGGGAAAAGCTCCTCATCGGGAGGGATTAAAGTGGCTTATAGTGTGCTTATTTATATTCTATTCAGCATTTAAGATTTAGTGAGTTAAGTGTGCTCTCTTTTGAAATACTATTTTGGACCTTTTAAAACTTTCCATCTCCATTTTGGGATAAGAAGGCATTTGTGTGTTTTTGCAGGTGCACCACTGATTTACAGTATTTGTTAATTCAAAAGCACGTGAATTTATGAACACAGCACTGCCTTGTAGGATTACATACATGCTGCAATGCTGTACTTGTAATGCAGTGTTGATATAGACTCAGAAGTCAGTCTTTAGACACTTTGCTTAACTAAATCAGAAGGCGGAGATCTCTGATTGTCTGGTGGCGAGACTAGTGTTGATATGATATTCACATGGATATTGTGTGATCACTCCTTCTGACTAACAACATATATTTGAGGACAATATGCCCAATTATGCTCTTTCTCAATACTTACTATACTTTTTTAGCAGATATGTACCCAGCAGCACCTGCAAAAGTGGATGTGGGTGCCTCCTGATGACTGACATAAGGAGCTACAACAATACCTGCATATATTCTGTGTTTTTCAGGTGTCATGTTATATAGCTCTGCTCCATGTATTATTACAGGGAATATGTGTGACTGTGCTTTAATGTTAAATCTTCCCTCAGCTACACATAATCTTCAGGACAATGAGGTAGACCTTAAAAGCTAATTTGCAGTCTAAATGTAATGGTTTGTTACTGCTGCCAAACGTGTAATGGCTATAAGCAATGTTTGCTAACGTTATGTAGCCTGTACTGGGCTTTTATACCGTTATAGCTAGCTTACACCATAAATGCTAAACTGCTAACAAATGAGGCGACAACATTTTGAGAAGACACTTCTATGGGAACAAACGAGAAGTTACCTCTTGTTATAAACTTAGCATTTAGTAAAACTTTCGTACCTTTTCCAGTTGTGCTACTTTGTTCTTCAGAGCAGCTATCTCTTTCTCTTTCGCCTCGAGCTGTGCCTTCAAGCAGCGCACCTCTTCAGCCATGGCTGCTGCTGTTACAGAGAAAGGAAACACGTTCAGTTATCAACGCTACTGTTCTCATTTAGCGAGCTGACTGTGGTAAATGGACATGGATGAATTACATCCACAACCATGCATACACACGGGACACACTTCCGGGTTTGCCATGTGACGATGAAACCACGTGGTAGGTGACGTACAAAACTGTGGTGTTTCACAAAAAAATAATTAAATAAGTAAACAAATATTTGATTTACTACTTTACTAATGATTTACCCTTGGGGGTAAAAATAGAAAAAAAAAAAAACTCCATTAAAGCTTTTGTTTACTGCACAGAGATCTAAGCAAAACATGACTTCCTGTATCACTCTAATTTTTACTATTTAGTTATACTGGGAAATTATATTTTAAAAGATCAAAGTCTTGATTATTAAAACCTCGTTATGGGTCAAGCTCCCAGTAATTTAATTTATTCTTTAACAGCTTCCATAATGGATGTCAGACGTAAGATCTGACAGAGCTGGAGAGTTGACGTATTATGGAGTTGGAAAAAAAGTTATATATTTATTAATTTCACAGCAGTCGCAGTGAATAGTCATTTTTATTTTTTTAAGATATTAACATTTATTTTTTTTCTATTTTTGTATTTACTGATTTGTTTATTTATCTATTTTGAGGTTTGAGAGTTCTCTTAATGATAATCAAAATACTAATTTTTAAACCATAATTCCTGTTGAATTTAGAAGGGCTATATAGAAATATTATCTTAGCAATATTATTTTATAAATTTATCAAGAAGTAGGAGGCTTAACAGTACCTGCGCAGTATTGTCGTTTTTTTTTTGGAAACCAAGGGAAATATAATATTATGTTTTCTTTGATGAAAACCAGGAAGTGAGACAGGAGTCCTCAGTATAACCCCTTTATGCCTGATTAAATTATGTTTTCAGAAGTCTAAAGGAGCTGACAAAAATCTAGGACACATCTTTAAAGGGCAAACGTTTTCATAAAAATATATATTTTAAAACAAAGATGACTGTAGCTGTACCTTTTTTATGTTTATGTTTTCAGTGCGTACTGTTGGTTTCACATTTTGAAGGCTTTAAACACACACATACAAAGTTGTGAATTACTGTCTCGAAAAAAGGTGTTTCCTTGCAAGGGACAATTAAGAAGTAAAAAAAAAAATAAAAGAAAACAGATCAAAATATTTTATAAATCATATTTATCTTACATACTAAAAATAATGTTTCACCCCAGAAATGGAATTATTGTGTTAATAAGTCATAATTCTAAGGCTTATTTTGGCAGGACATGATTTGTCCCAATTCTCAATAAGTTCCTGCATAAATAACAACGCTGACCAGTAATGAGAAGACATAATGGGTCCAGCTGGGTTATGTCTTGTGACCTATGACGGCATGCAGTGTGTTGGACTGTTGTTCAAAACGAGCAATTATGGGGTCACTGTGTCATACCCGTGTGGTTCCTGGGATTGGATGAAGCGCGCGCACACACACGTAGGCTACACACAGACGCACACACACATGCATAGCAGTACAGTGACGCGCTGAGGGTTAGAGAGCCTCGAGTCCTCCCTCCTGCTTTTCACATGATCTGTAAGCTTTCACAGTGGAGAGACAGGAATGTGGAGAGGAGCGACAACAACTATGGCTGAGCGAGGTCCCTCCAAAATGCGTTTGTTTTACACTGCGGCCATCTGGCTGACATTCATCTGCTGCAGCGATGGAATCCCCTGGACACAAGAAAAGGTAACAAAAAATGAATTAAGAGCATATATTTACATTTTAGTGTCGTGTTGCCATTTCCAGGATGGTATACAGACACCTAAAACGTCTCCAAAAGTGAAACTATTTTAAAAACTTGACACGTGCAGCATTTTTACAGTTTTATTGTCATGTAGCTACTTTTGACAAGGTACAAATGAATGCTCCAAATACTGTTTACTTTTTTGGTCACTTGAAACACCTAAACGTAACATACTGGATTGTTTGGTTAAATTATATGAATAAATACTCACTCCTATTTTCTATATATTTTGTCTCTGTGTGTGCATGTGTTCCCTTTATCTCCTTGTGAAAAAGAGAAAACCATAAGTTCCCAAATTCAGTTCTGATACACAAAACATATGTATGCATTCATGATATTCCAGCAGCCCTGTGGTCTGTTTCCCGGCACTGTTGTGTAATTCTCCTGAGAAGCACCTGGGTATGCCTGGCCATTCATGTCCCTCATTTATGCTCTTCTTCTCCTCTCCTCTTTGCCTAGTTGCTATGGCAGCACAGTCATCGTCAATGATCCTCCAATTGCAGGTCTTGGTATTTATAGACCTTAAGTGGACCCCCTTTTAACCCTCTCTGAACTCAGTGAGCCCTCACACTTTGGATAACTATGTTCAGCATATGTGACCACATGATTATATATTTTGCAGTGTGTGCCACTCTGTAATTAGACTCAGTGGGCCACACTCGTACCCTGAACAGGTTTTGTTAAGTGAATGTTTATGCTATGATCATAGTGGACAGTGTTAAGGAATGTGGCCTTCCTATCGTCTGGGACAGTTAAGAGGAAAAACAAATGTCCACTGTGATTTCCCAGAAAAGTCTGAAGACTTACATGACGTATCAAGCAAAAATGACAAAAATTTGCTGGTTGCGGTTTCTCAAATGTGTTGATGTGCCGTCATTGTGAGTTGAAAATCTTGGGTTGTAGACTGTCGGTCAGACGAAACATGCAGTTTGGAGACGTCGCCCTGGGCTGTGGGTATATGTGATGTACATTTTTCACTATTTTCTAACATTTAAAAGACCAAACATTTGATTAATGCTAATTAAAACAACTGGCAGTATCAGTTCTACATTGCCAATTAAGACCTACCCACAGGGCCTATTACTGGAGAGTATGATACACACAAGCAAGCTTTTGCTCTGGTATTACCCATCGGCTCTTTCCCTCCTGCTCTCTGTCCTTTCCTCTTGGTTCAGTTTGTTTCCAGGACAACCACGGTGCTCAGCAGGTGAACTTTGAGACCAAATGAAAAAGAGCCACGGGATTGAATAATCAATATGTTTTTTTAACCTATAGCTGTAATCGAGCGGGCATTGAAGCGAAGGGTTGAAACCTGACTCCAAATCCATATTGCGTTCCTTAAATTACACACAGTGGTTGATGTCCTTTTTTAAAATATCATGTGGATTTCCGAGAATAGTGTAAGCATGTTAACAAGCAATCTTCACTTGTCTGCCTCTTTGTTCAACAGACTCTTGCTTTTCTAAAGTAGCCCTGAAGCCATTCAATCAATGTCTATTCATAGTGGTCTAATTGGTCCATGTGTTACTTACTTGCAGCTCATGTAGGCTCTAACACAATGTTTGGATCAACCTTACCACAAGGTCATATTGTGTCTCCTTTGTGTGTTGGTAGTGATACATATTGAAAATCCTTTTTTGGATTGGTATTCTCTTCAGATGTCCCTAGCAACATAAATGCTGACATAGGGGAAAAAATCCCCTGTTGGCACATCTAGAGAGTGGTTGATATGACACACTAAAATCAGTGTTTCTGTGTAATATGTGTCATCCACATTGTTTCTCAGTTGAAATGCATCATGAAAAACACTTCCCTATTCTTATACTAAGAAGCCATCCATCTGTAATTTAAGTCAGTATTTCCTCATAATGCTCTATGTCCCACACATAACACTGCCTTAACAGACAGATAACAATGATCTGACCTTTCTGAACACACTTAATTCCTCCCTTAGTATCCCATTAAACCCAGTGCTATTTCTCATCCATTTTATTTAATCTTGTTTGTTTCCTCTGGTTCTGTTCAGCTCCACCACCGAGCTCTCACTCTAACACAAAATGAGATCAGCACCGCCCTGTCTCACACTGACCTGGAGCAGATGTGGCAGAGGGACCTGACGCCGCTGCTGGTCACCAGGTACCCAGGTTCTGCCGGCAGCCAGGCCGTTCAGGAGGTGAGTTTATTTGCAGGATAACATATCATCATGTTACTACCAAACCCCAGTAGTCCGTAAAATGTCCATTGGATCAGATCTCTATTTGTCAGACAGCCTATTATCCTGAAAACAAATGCCCATTGCTCCGAAAATCCCTGCAGGTAGAACCAGGGATCTTTGCCATTATTTTAAGCTGCCCTAACCTTAACTAAGTGCATATTTTTGAGCCAAGCTATGACCTTTCTCTAAACCTAACCAAATCGGTTTTGTGCTTAAACCTATCCTAATTAAAGCCAGTGGTTTGTAATGGTTCTGGAGGGCACAGACAAATGATGTCGTCCTGTTGATAGGAGCATCAAATCAGAGCAGTTACAAGCTAATTTTGTCATTTACTTGTTGCATCATGTTGGGTTGTTGATTGCAGCCATAAATCTTTCTAAATGTAAGGATAGTGTGTATTTTCGGAGCAGTGGGCATTTGTTTTCGGGATGACAGCATGGGCGGATTATGCGACAATGGGCCCATGGGCACAGACATGCAAGAGGGCCCCACCACCTCTGCTCCACAGGATCAAGACACACAGACTTCATTGTTACTCTTTTTCTTGTGGTTTTGAGTCACTTTGTGGTTGTTTTGACCCTTTTCATAGACATTGTGAATCTCTATGTGTCTCTTTGCAGCTATTTTGTGACTTTTTGTGGTTTTTCATAGCTCTCATAGTCTCTGTCTGTTTGGTACGTCTCTTTGGATGACATTTGGCAGGTGACGGCCAGGGGGGCCCCTGACAATTTTGGCATCTGGGTCTGGACCTGGAATGCCTGTTCAGTAATCCATCAATGGATAACAGGCTGACGGGCAAATAGGCTTTAAGTTCAATGGGACTTTTTTTCAGACTGGTGGGGTTTCAGAACAATGGGCCCTTGAAACAATGGGCACTTCCCTCATGACATACGCATGTTTTATATTAAATGGAAAGAAAAATGTCTAAATCCTGTTACTTTTACCTCATGGAAAAAGCTTTTTTTATAGGCAATGTCATGGTAACTAAGTAGTTAGGAAATACATCTTAAAGTGCTGTTTTATTCCTGAAAAACTGGAAGCAACAGGTCTAAATCAGAGATGTTTCACAAGTGTATTTGCCACAGACTTGGCTCAGCTCATCAGTAAGGTGGTAATA